GGTTTCTAAAAATAAATTTAAAATTTATGACTGTTACTGGTAACATATCTGTAAACATGTGTTTTTTTCCCTTTTTTTTTAAAAAAAAAGTTATAAAATTCTATAATAGTTTAATTCTTAAGCTCCTTATCTTTCAGACTGAACTGTGATTTTTTTTATTACCTTATTCTTGCTATTTTTGTAGATCTACAAATAACAAGGATATGAAGGGAACATATATAAATAAATATTTTTATCATTTATAAAATTCTTTTAAAGTTTTATAAATTTAATGAATAGCCAAATTCAGAATAGGCCTGTATCTAAAAAAATATACACTTTTCTAAAATTAACTTTTACCAGTCAACAAACAATTTGAAGTGTTTTTTCAAAGATTAATCATTTTCACTAATAGAGAGACATTTCTGTATCATTTATAATGAAAATGGTTTTGTAACATAATAATTTATCATAAAATTAACTGTTTTCTCTGTTGTTTTTTTGTTGTTTTAAAATTTTATTTCCCCTATTTACCCTCCATGACACTACCATTTACCTATAATTGAAAGAAAACACTAATTGCATAAATTAATGGTGGTTTTGCTCATATACTGTAAATTACAACAACATGCACTTTATGACAGTTATAATTGTTTTACAGGGTGAACCTTGTACATGTATATAACCTAACAATTACCTGTTTGTAAGTCTAAAATTCTGTATTAACCTAAGATCATAATATCTATTACACATTTACAAGTCAGCTTTTCAGTATTATAAAGTTACATTATACATGTAGAGTCTGGTTATGTACAATAGTTAAATTCACAAATTCCATACAAAATTTATACTTTTTTTAATTGCATTTCTTTCTTCTTTAAGAAATCAGTTTATTTGTGGGAATAATGGTGTTCAAATATTTTTCTAGTTGTGAAAATGTATATAAACCTAAACATATCAACACATGTTGGACATACTATTGAATAATAATAGGTAAATTTATACATTATCAGTCATACTGGAGCCCCTAAACTTATAACTTTAATACAGTATATTGCCTCAGTAGTTTACTAATCCAACATATTAAATCTGTTCAATATCTGTTATAAATACTACTACAGTTAAAAAAATAAAATACACCCATTCATTGAACAAATACTATCATAACATTACCTCAAAGTATTTTAATGCTTTTTAAAAAATAAAATATTTTCTTAAAAATAACTATTGAAATGTAAACTAATAACCATATATACAATAGTGAAAAGTATTATAAATGAGTATTAAGAAATATCATATAATATGTTAATTTAAGCATTTATACTGCAGTCAAATTGTAAAATGGAAGCACTGAGGGGTGTGTCATATTACCTCAAACATTGCGTTACAATATCAAATTAATTTTTAACATAAAATGCTATTTGTGCTCCCCTTGCAATACTAACTTTTTTCCAAATATATAATTATTCATCATAACACAGTCAAAGGTTGGTAAATGTTGAAATGTCTTTGGTCTGCTACAGTCTAAAGACCATCATTACTACTTTGACACCTTATTACGTCACGTGTATCAATAATATAAATACACAAAACCGCGGGAAATTGTGTCATTTACCTGAATCCACCGTTCCGCCTCGTGCAATGCAAGATCAGTAAAGAAATCCATTTCCTCGTCTTCCCTTAATCTGATGGGATACCAATCTTCCTCATTTTCTTGAGAATCCTCCGCCATTTTCACAAATCTAACAATTCAAACAGCAAATAAAGCGTTCTTAAGATCCTTGAATGAAAATACACACACAGCGGTCAACCAACACCATGTAAAAGTGAAAGGTAAACATTCCACCGATCGTCACGCGCTATAAAACTTGTCTGACACACTTCGTCGGTCAGGTGATCAAAAATTCGGTAAGCATGAACGATAATGACAGTTTTATATGTCACTTTTTGTAATTTGAAACAACATTAAGCAATGATACCCCATTATGATTAACTTTATTTCACAAACGGACAAATAAAAATAACGTTAACTACTTAGCCCCGTAATTTAAGTGACCGTGCGCGAAACAATTCAATTTAATTCAACATAATTTCGTAGCTGCCTATTGTTTATCTATAGACAAATGTCATGTTAGATAGTTGACCTGAATTGCTCTAGTGATGCGCTGATATAGCAAGATTTAAATACCATCCTTAGTTACTATTGCCCTCGGTGTTATATTTTTTTATCTGTGACTGAATAACATTATATTAATTTTGATAATTTTAAGGGATATAAAACCATAAAACATATTATATACTTACTTGCTATTCGCCATAATTGGTATCTATAAATTATATGGCTGTAATAAATAAATAAAAGACACAACAAGTGAACAGGCTTCTATACATTGAAAGTGATTTGCTTGTATAAACATCGTTAAAGTAAACAGTGTGTACTGGTTTACTGCGATAGAACTTTCTGAAGAAAAAATGCACGTGTTAAAATCAGTCTAGGCTCAAAAAAGTTTCGTGCATGAAAAGAAAATTGTTTATGATTTCCTGACAGGCATTAGAGACAATAGGCTTTCAATAATGTCTTAAATATCAATTTGAATAAAACAATTTTGACAAAAGATAATTTCTTTATTCAAAATAACATATTAAATGAGTATATAATCACGTTGATAAAATCTAAAACATCCAGATAACTTTAGTATCCTCTAGGAACTGTTACGGGAAACTTTTCAAATGTAACGAAGTTCCTCACACCTGGAAAACATTACGAGTTTTATTTTCTGATGATATTGTAATGGAGAAGGAAAAACTGCTTAAGATTAGTAATTATTTATCTCACGGCTTTAATTAAATTCGTGTTCATCTATAGAAGAAAGTCGGTTGTAAAATTAGAATCAAATGCTTACAGTTGTCGTATTTTTTTATTTTGATGAAGAAGTTCAAATGAAAGGGCGCTGATTATTAACCATAATATCACCATTTAAGTTATCAATAGCATCCCATCCTAGTGTAACGGCTTTCACCTGTACAAAAGGCGTTTTAAGTCCGAAAAATGCATGGATGAAAGAGTTGTTGACTTTTGTATTCGAGACTTTAACTTTTGAAATAGACTCGGGATATTATTATTCAAATAAATCAAAAAGGGGTCAAATAAATAATGTTAATAATTAATTATAAAAATACTTTCACTTGTTAGCTGTTGATGAAAGTTTACTTCAATTATAAAAAATAATAAGAGAGAAAGAGAAGATCTAATCACTCATCAAGCTAATCCTCACGCCTCCTTTCCCCAAAATTTTGAAGATCCGTACATAATATAATTCCTTTCCTTATCTATATTTTCATTTCTCTGTATTGGATCTATATACTGTAATGAAGCCTTTTTTATCATTTCATGTAATTTTTTATCTGTGTAGATCTACAGTATAATTATTATGTATTGGAGCAGCTAGGGTCGTTTCTATAATTTGAAGGACCCTGATTGGAGAAAATAAAAGTATATTTATACTTTCGGTAGTACAAATACCATGCCTAATTTTCTGACATTTACAGGAAAAAGGAATAGTGTTTTACGTCTGTTTATAGTGGTATCATACCATTACGTACTATAGTGTCACATAAATCAAATAAAATGCGCACCGGTTACACAGAGTAACTTCCCTTCAAAGTTGGCTTCATTGACAACACTTGGGATGTCTGCAGCTGAAAATGATGTTAAAAGAATGGAAACACGGTGTAATACTTGCAGAAAGCAGATGCAAGTTATGAAACGTTGCACACGCTGTAAATCTGTGATGTACTGGTTCGTAGTTAAATCATTAGATACATGAGTTATACGCATCGATAAACCATTTAATTATCATGCAGCAGGGTTTCGGAATTACCATGCCCGAATCGGGACTTTTTTTGCCTGTGTACAAGTAAATTTTCACTTAGTGGTTGTCCGTGGACAAGTGAATTTCTGTGCCAGAAAAAAATGCCCAAATTCTAACTGTACTAGATCGTGAACGTTAATCTTTCATGATGTTTGTTTGTACACCATCTAAATTGATAGCGAGCTCGACGAGCTGGCCCGAAGGGCCTGCTCGCAAAGGGAGCTTTACGGTAACGCAAGTACATGCTAAGTGATGCTTTTGAAAATTTTCGTCCGAAGTACCGAATTCGACACATCGCAACTTTTCGAATTTAAAGATAACGATAAAAACTGAGGAATTCTGACTGAAAACGGATGTGTAGACTGGTCACCCGCGCACGTCTATGGGAACCATAATTGGACAGGGAACCAGAATAACGGAAGCTGTGTATAAAATATCGAATGACAGTTTTAAAACGGAAAATGTAAAATGAAAATTGAACGATTATTTCAACCGACTTTTCCCGTACATAGGTTTTGCCTGATTTCTTTAAATGTACATTTACATCCTCTTTTTGAAGAAACAAAACATTCTAACACTATCGGAAATTTCTCTATATAAACAAAGAAGGCCCCAAGCGTGCATTATTCTACCACGATGCACTCGCCGTTCTTATTATCTCCCCGTGTATTTTCACATTGAAGGCGCCATTTTGTTTGAAAAATCTGAAAAATAAAAACAATTTTTTGTCGAATTTTGTTGTGAACTATCTAGAATGAAAGAAAATGGTCTAACTAAGAAAATGAATCCGAACACCAATATTTTTTATTCAGTTGTTAACGCTTTACAGACGTTTAAAGTATTGTTTACGTGAAGTCACAATGTAGCGCCAAACAGCACGTGCAAAACAATCAAATCAAGTACGCTATTTTAATGTTGCAAACGTGTTAAGTTTTACATTTATTTCACTTTTAATAATCTTTATTTCGCTTGAAAAATTACAGAGTGAAATGAAATAAACAAACAAAGTTTATCAACGTTTTCAAAACTCGTTATTCATTTAACGGCAGGGGCGGAGCATATTTAACACAGTACGTATGACGTCACACGCACTAGGAATAAAAATGAGGGATTATTTCATACTATTTCACGTTAAAAGTACATCGAGCTCGCTTTGAGGCTTTGCCTTTTTCATGTTAAGGACTATACTGGTCGAAGACCATTAACCGGACACTTTTGGAACATTTTTTCCGTACATCAGCTTCTCTATTTGTGTCTGTTTTTTATTATTCATTTCTTTCTTGTGAATATGAAAATTACACAACATAAAAGTTTTTCACTTCTAAGTGAGCAAATTATATAATATTGCGACACAAAAAAGCAAAGAACGTGACAAGTATCCACTATTTATTCTATTAGATTGTCACTTAATATGGGACTGTACTTAATATTTGTCATAAAACATGATTTTTGTAATTTTATTTTCAGTTCTAGAGATTGTCAAGTGAAAGATTGGCCAAAACATCAACTTGTTTGTAATTCTGCTAATGTTGGGAACTTGCAGCAAGAAAAGAATAAATCCTATCTAAGGAATGATAATAGTATTTTTGAAGATAATCATACTTGTAAGTTTCTCTGGCAACAATGAATATCTGTAACAGATCTGTAATTATATTAGAACTTTTATAATACCAGTATTTCCGAGCTTCTTTGAGTTCCTTGCAGATTTTTTTTGTTTACATCACAATAAGACAGTATAGGTCATAAAGCGGCTTTCCAGCTTTACTTGTGGAGGAAGACTTCAGCTACCCCTCTGTGCCTTATTTCAGGCACACATGGACAACTGAGTAGAACCACCAATTAGCTAGCTGGATAGCTTTCTCACATGAAAGAACCTGAAGACAATTGTGCAGCTAAATTAACCTACAGAGGCGAGCTGTTTGAATCAACGACCTTAACCACTCTGCCAAGGATGCTCTGCACAAATATTAATTGTTCACTTGTCTCTGTAAAATGAGCATCTAATGCATTGCATTTGTAAGTTCATTTTATTACTATTAAAGAAAATGTTTTGATAGTATTTTAATATAAAAGAACAATTTTTTCATGCAACATGGTATATGTGAACTAAGTTTCAAAAATTTACATGAATTCATTGTTAAAGTTAGAATCAAATCCAGTAAAAAATTAATTCATGTTTAATTCACATTATTATTTTTTTTCAAATGAGGTACAGCATCTGGAAGTCATCCTCCATTAGTTGATTTCTCCAAGGCAACAAAACAGAAACAAGATACAAAAACCGTTAACAGTGTAACAAAACCAAAAGAAAAATGCTATCTTTTTGTGAATGAATACTATACTGATGTACCAGTTGTTAATTGTTCAGAACCCACATCTTCCATAACTGTAAAGTGCAACAAAGATAAACACAAACTTGTTGTTCAAAATACTTGGACTGGCGTTGATATTTATAAATTTTTGTCTCATTCCCTTGAGATACCATTAGAAAAAGTGAAAGTTATACACAAAGGTAAAGTTTTAAGTCGTGAAAATATATGTGAAACAATTAAAGATAAGGCAGTGTACCAGGTGATTGGGGAAGTGGCAGAGAATGAGGAAGATTTAGATCAACGAGATATCTGTGTGATGATGAAGCAGACAGGACTTGACAGACAAGCAGCTGTACATGCATTAAAAAAGAAAGGTGATCTTCTAGATGCATTGCTAGATCAATAAACTTCACCTGGTTGAACACTGAATCATGCTATTCACAGAATAAGATGGTGATCACATACACTTTGTTACATGTTTAAGAGTATTAAATATATTATATACTGTATAAGTGGATATTTCTACTTGTTGAAAAGTTAACAAATTTAAAATTCCAGACATTTAGTGTGAAGAAATAGTAGCGAATCGTGAAAGGTAGAAGTTTATGACAATTTGGTTGATATTTTACGCTAGTAGAAATTTTAGCGATTTTAGTCAATTTACAAAATTCACCAATAAGCCGCTAAGTTTGTAATCATAAGTTTGATATCGGAAGTATTTTTCATTCCAATTTTTCTTCCAATGTTGCAGTTCACTACAATTCCGTTGATGGCTCACTTGATAACTTTTCCTTTGTGCCAATAGATAAAGTTCATGATAATATGGAGGGACTATTGAAAAAGACATATTGGATCCATAAAATGGAAACATTTTGTCATAAGGGTGCTCTATAACTTGTAAAGTCTTTTTCAAGAACATAATTCTCTTTACAAACTCATCCATATCTTTTTCAGTACATATTGGCATAAAATCATTCTTACATTTATTTATTGTACCTAGAAATGTTTATTAATAAAGGAACTACTGACATTTTATGCATTTCTAACCTTTCTAAATGTAAGGTTTGCTTTTAATGTCAATAAGTTTCCTTCTTCTTCATTGTATGGTACATGGAACTTTATGTACATGATAACTTAAAAACGAAAAAGCACGTAAAAGCAATTTAAATGTTGAATACATGTATGTTTGCAGCTGAATGTGCTATTTTTGCGTAAGATGTTAGTTTTGTATCTTCTTGCACTAATATGATGTGCTGATATGATTAACGTCACTTCTCTTCAAATATTGTCTTATGTAATACATGTATATATAATGTTATATCTTTGAAATTGTTCCTTTTGTATAATTATGATGCTTTACTTTGCTTAATGCTATTTCTTTTCATTGACTGTTTTATGTAATATGTATATCTTCGAACATTCGGAGGCAATAAAGATGTATATATACTTGTATGGTAATTGAATTTCTTCTGTGACAAATTAATTTTGAACATAATGCATTAAATTAAACAGATGATTTTCATTTTAGTTTTAATTAGCGTAATAAGATATACTGAATGATAGCAATGTTTTCTCAATTATTATCTCCCTTTATACAGATAAATATGTTTTACATAAGTGAAAAAGTATTCTTGAAATTCTGAACTTTCACATTTATATAATTATATAAGTAACTGTTATTTTCCCACTTCTTGAATTTATTAACTAGCTGTAGTTTCTCTGTGAAAATGCATCTTTTGATCCAGTAATAAAATGTAAATCTTTTGAAAATTACATATGCTTGTTAAAAAATTACTTCTATATATACACAGTCATATTATATTTTATTGTATAAAACAGTAAAAGACGTTGTATTTTATTACATTTCTTTTCTTAGATATCACATCTGTTTGCATCATTTTTTTTGTAATTTATCCACTTAAGAAGCATAATAAAAAGAAACATATTTTTTGGTAAACTGTGTTGGTTTGTGAATCATTTTATCATACATTTTATATGACACTAACATAATTACATAATTTCCTGCTGTGAAAACTACATCTTCAGTATCATCTTAAATAAATGAATGACTTATAGCAGAAAAGGGGGCCTTATTCTGTTAAAGTTAAGAGCTTAACAGAATTACAAATGTAGCTACACTAGATTGCAAGTATTTCAAGTTCAAAATATGTTTTGAGATGTTCTTTTTTTTTTTAGGAGAAAATAAGGAAAATATTGTATGACAGAAGGGGGAGAATATCAAGCAAAACTGACTTAGGATGCCTCCTTTAGAAGTGCATTCCAATTTCGACAGTGAACAAGTATTCTTAGTGTAAAGTGAATATCTATGATAGCAAAATACAGAATTTAAGGTTGATTGTGTAGAAATCTATAAGCTTATAGACACACCCTTGAATCATTTCCTGGAACCAACCAGTACTGATCAATGAGTGCTGAAGGAAAAACAGCTTTCCCCTGACGGGGTTTGAACCCAAGCAGCTAGCAATTCTTAGATTTAATACTTGCCTGACGTGTTAACCAACAATGGTTCACCAAGAAATTGTAAGTCAAACAAGAGCTGTCGCCCAAGTGAGGAATGCCCTCGATTAGGTTTCTCAAGCATGCAAGTATTATGAAAAGAAAAGAGAATGAAAGTAACTAATTGCTTAATATTATTCTTTGTATTATTGTACCTGTAATCTCTAATTGTGATTGCGTGAACCTTCAAAATATAAGTGTGACCTTGACCTTTGAAGAAGGGACATGGTTCCTGGACGCAACAGAATGTTGTTATGAGATAGACATTTGTGCCAAGTTATTTCAAAATCCCTCAATGCAGACAAAGTTACAGTCTGGACATAATTGTTGTGTAAGTGGGGACACACGGACGGACAGACGGACATGAGATATAGCCGCGACACATTGTCTTGGTGTGGTAGACATTTAAGCGAAGTTATTTTAAAATCCTTCCATGCATGACAAAGTTACATTCAGAACATGAATGTGTATCTTCAAACTCTTCTCGAGAGAATGAGTACCTTCTAACTATAAGTGTGATCTTGATCTTGAAGGTAGGGACATGGGTCTTAGTTGTGACATGTCATCTTGATGTGGTAGACATTTATGCCCAGTTATTTTAAAATTCCTTGATGCATGACAAAGTTACAGTCCAGACACAAATATGTGTACCTATAAACTGTAAATGTGATAAAGTGGACTTCAAAATGGCAGTGTGACCCTGCCCTGACCTTTGAGGGAGGTACATGATTATTGGATGGGACACATCATCTTGATGTGGTAGACATTTATGCCAAGTTATTCTAAAATCCTTCCATGCATGACAAAGTTACAGTCCGGACACAAATGTGTGTACCTATAAACTCTTAATGTGATAAAGCGAAACTTCAAAATGTTAGTGTGACCTTGACCTTTGAGGTAGGGATGTGATTATTGGACGCGTCACATCGCCTCTATGTGGTAGACATTTATGCCAAGTTATTCTAAAATCCTTTGATGCATGACAAAGTTACAGCCCGGACACAATTGTGTGTACCTATTAATTCTAATTGTGATAATGTGAAACTTCAAAATGTTAGTGTGACCTTGAACTTTGAGGTAGGGACATAATTTTTGGACGAGACACATTGTCTTGATGTGGTAGACTTTTATGCCTAGTTATTTCAAAATCATACGATGCATGACAAAGTTACAGTCCGGACACGAGTGTGTGTACCATTTTACTCTTATTGCGATAATGTGAAACTTCAAAATGATAGAGTGACCTTGACCTTTGAGATAGGGGCATGGTTCTTGGACGCGACACATCGTCTTGATGTGGTAGACATTTGTGCCAAGTTATTTCAAAATCCCTCAATGTATGACACAATTACAGTCCGGACACGAATGAAGTGGGGACGCACAGATGGACAGACAGACGGACAGTGCGATTTTAAAATGCCTCCCTTCGGGGACATAAAAAGGGGCATATCTGAGAAAAAAAATGAGTATTTATAACAAATAAGTACCTTTTGAGAAATGCAAGACATGCCTACATGCAGAATGTTGAGCCTGCTCGTCATAAATCAAATCTGAACAAATAAGCTTCAGATCAAGGAGAAAGATGTATAAATACAAATGTAGATGAGATGTGTGCAACACATCCTCTTCATACCCAAGGCAAAATCTTGACATTTGAGTGGACCATTGACCTAACAAATCTAAATGGGTGCACAGACTGACTGATGGACACACATACACCAAAAGTGAAAAGCTGCTACTAAGTCAACCTCACCACAACCGGGCTCAAAAACTTAAAAATCCTCTGACCACTAAGCATAACACTAAGCGTAATTAAGATGCAGCGCCAATTAACAAATTTTAATACTTTTATCTGACCTTTGACTTCTTGTGACCTTGACCTTCATTTGCGCTTAACTTGGAGAACATTTGATGCTTAGTTACATTAAAATCCATCCATGTATATGTTTTATTGTGTTATTTGACCTTTGACCCCTAATTATGACACCTGAATATTTGGTGTGACACTCCACCTCACTATGGAGAAAATTTGCCCCAAGTTTATAATATTAAAATCCCTCATGCATGTAGAAGTTATGCTGTGGATATGGGTTTTGTGTGGAACTCCAAATATAACCTTGACCTTTGAGCGGCGGACCTGGGTTTTGTGTCCTACACACCACCCTTCATTGTGAACAATTGTATCAAATTGTTTTGTAATCCTTCAGAGACACCTTCAAAGAATGAGCAAGATATAAACCAGATAAATCCAGATGGACACACATACACAGAACTATACGCTAAAAGTGATGACTAAATCGAGCTCACCGTAAGCGGGCTAGACCTAAGCTCAACAAGAGCACCGCTAGGCGGAGCATTATATGCCCGAAAGTTTTTTTTAATTTTAGTAAGGATGAAGCATTTGTAAGACATGAGAATTAAATAAAGTATTACCTCCTTCAAATAGCAATCCTATGAAGTTTGACTATTGTGGGCCAAATGGAACTTGAGTTATGCTCCGGAAACTGTTTTCAGTTTTAAAGTAATAGTGACCTTGAAATCCCAAAGTCAATAGGGGTGTTCTACCCAATATGGACAATCATCCTATGAAGTTTGAACACTGTGGGCCAAATGAAACTAAAGTTATGTTCTAGAAACTGTTTTCATTTTTAGCTCGACTATTCGAAGAATATGAGAGCTATTGTAGTCGCCCCGGCGTCAGCGTCGGCGTCCGCGTTGGTTAAAGTTTTTTGTAAAGTCAAATATCTCAATTATTGCTTGAGATATTCAATTGAAACTTACAATACTTATTTATAGTAACAAGGTACATCAGATTGACAAGTTGGATAACTCTGCCTACAATATTGACAGAATTATGCCCCTTTTTAACTTAGAAATTTTGGTTAAAGTTTTTTGTAAAGTCAAATATCTCAATTATTGCTTGAGATATTCAATTGAAATTTAAAATACTTTTTTATAGTAACAATGTTAACATCAGTTTGCAAAATTGCATAACTCTGCCTGCAATATTTGCAGAATTATTTGCCCCTTTGAAACTTAGAAATTTTGGTTAAAGGTTAAAAGTCTTCAAAGATATTTACTTGAAACTTTACACATGCACTTAGGGTCATAATTGGAGGGTCATAATTGTATGTCACTGACCAAGTTCCATAACTCTATCTTGCATTAAGGCTGATTCATATCCCCTTTTCTACTTAATCTCTTGGTTAATGTTTACATGCAAGTTTTACATATCTCAATAACTATTAAAGGTATTTATTTAAAACTTCACATATGCATTTAGGGTCTTAATTGTAGGTCACTGACAAAGATCCATAATTCTATCTTGCATTTAGGCTGATTTTTCTCCCCTTTTTCAACTTAGAAATTCATGGTAAAGTTTTGCTTGTAAGCTGTTATCTCAATAACTACTGAAGGGTTTGTGCCTTTTTTGGGACAATTTTATGCATTCATAATAATAAAGCAGTGATTTACTTGATAAAACATCTTAATAACAAGCCTTTGTACCTTTTCTGTCAAATTTATGTATTCATAGGTAATTAGTATTATTACACTAAATAAAACACCCTTGTGACATTACATTCCGAATAGCCAAGCCAATACTGTATAATTAGAGTCTCTCTAACATGAACTTATAAAAAAAAATTAGCCCTTTTTTGAACTTAAAAAATTTAACATTATCAAGGCTCTTTACTATCAAGCACTTAGAATAGTCGAGCATGCTGTCCTACTGACAGCTCTTGTTAAAGTAATAGTGACTTTGACCTTATGACCCCAAAATCAATAAGGGTCTTCTACCCAAAATGGACAATCATCCTATGACTTTTGAACACTGTGAGCCAAATGAAACTAAAGTTATGTTCTGGAAACTGTTCATTTCTAAAGTAATAGTGACTTTGACCTTGTGACCCCAAAATCAATAGGGGTCTTCTACCCAATATGGACAATCATCCTATGAGGTTTGAACACTGTTGGCCAAATGGAACTGAAGTTATGCTCCGAAAACTGTTTTCAGTTTTAAAGTAATAATGACCTTGACCTTTGACCTTGTGACCCAAAAATCAATAGGGGTCTTTTACCAAATATGGACAATCATACCATGAAGTTTGAACACTGTGGGCCAAATGGAACTTAAGTTATGCTCTGGAAACCAAATTGCTAAGGGACGGACAGATGGACGGACGCCAGGGGGTAAAACAAACTAGAACTGCCACTGTCATGGCGTGAATACCCCCGCAAACCACTTTGTCAGAATCAACAGTGGCCATTTAGAGCTCAAGGACAACGTCCCTGCCAAATCTGAGGTTACTAAGCCAGTGCTATGTATTCTACATGCATCAAATGTAAAAATGTCAAAATCAATAAACTGCGGACAGGCATTCTTAATCAATTGAAAGGAAAAGCTTTTTTTAGTCTACCTTT